AATACACAACAAATCCCAAAAACCGGAACATCGTGAATCACAAACTACAGAAGAAAAAATCTAGTATCTCTATACGTGAGAGTCTAACAAGGAAAAATACATAAGATAATGGATATGAGAAAGAGTAGAAGGGGACTCCGAGGTTTGCGGACGCGACATATATACCTTGAAGTCTCCAAAACTGTCCCGGCTCACTGATAGTGCGGCTGATAAGGTGCACCTGGATCTGCACATGAAAATAAATATGTGCAGAGAGTAGCATGAGTACACCACAATCGGTACCCAGTAAGTGCCAAGCCTAACCTCGGTCGAGTAGTGACGAGGTCAGGTCAGCGCCCTACTAGTAAATATATAATAAAACAATATAGAGAGTAATACCACAATAAAATAAAGGCTGAAAATTAACAACAATGGAATCATAGAAGGTAACAACTCAATATACAGAAACACAATAGGGGATCTCCCGAGATACCGTCTCGTAGTCCCAAACGTAAATGTGCAGGGAGATCTCCCGGAATACCGTTCTGTAATCCCAAAGTAAATGTGCAGGGGATCTCCCGGAATACCGTTCCGTAGTCCCAAGGTAAATATGCAGTACATGAGGATCTCCCAGAATACTTTTCTGTAGTCCCAAAGTAAATATGCAGCGCGAATGATAGAAATACAACTACATCACGAAATTCTTATAATTTAGACTAAGTACCAGTCAAGGAAGAAGCAGAAAATTCACTAAGCATGCTGCACATAATTCACATAAATAATTAAGATACGTAGACATGTTGTATTAGACTAAACATGATAGCTACACATATTGGAATAACTCAATTAAGAATGAAAATAGATTAGTACTCATTAAAATGGTATAACTCAAAATAACAGGAAAACATATTGTTCCTCGGTAAGAAAAATTAGGTTTTACCACAACTAGCCCGTGTACGTACTCGTTACCTCACCTACACGACGCTCACATAGCACAATAGTTCCAAATCTTAAGGGGATTTTCCCTCCACAAAGTTAGGTAAGCCACTTACCTCGAACCAAGCTCAATCAATCGATCACAATGCCTTTCCCACGAATATCCGGCTCCGAATGGCCCAAATCTAGCCAAAAGCAATTACATATCATAAATACAACAATAATAGACTCATCTAATTAACGAAATCAACATTTTAATAAAAATTTTGAAATTAACTCAAAATCGCCGGTGGGGCCCACGTCTCGGAACCCGACAAAAGTTACAGAATATGAACGCCCATCTAACCACGAGTCCAACCATATAAATTTCACCAAAATCCGACATCAACTCGAACCTCAAATCTTCAATTAAAGTCTATGAAGATTTCTACCATTTTCAACCCAATCTTTACCCATTTGAACTTAACAATCTTTCCACAACCTTATTGGTATGTATACATAATACTCTTACACCCAAGAATCATACTATTAATCACCCATCTTTACTCCAAACCCGAAATTGAAGAATTGAGGAAAGAAATTCTTACCTCTTTGAAACCCTAGCAAGATCCTTGTGAAGTCTTCAAACCTTGAACAAGAAATTGATGGATAAATGACTAAGTTTTCACTTTCTCTCTCTAAAATGCTCTCACGTCTCTCTAAAATATCAGATGAAACCCTTCAAAATGACCCCAATAGTGTTTTATAAGAATGGGGTCGGGTTTATAAAACCAGAAAAATGAAGTTCTGGAACAGGTTCTGCGGTCTCATATGCGACCGCATAATGGTTATGCGGACCGCATATCGGTCGCATAATCAGTGTCCAATACTGGCAAACATCTGTCTGTGTATGCGGTCACTATGCGGCCCGCATACCTGTTCTGTGGTCGCATAGTGAACGCAGTACAGTTATGCGGTCGCATAGTTAACCACAGATTTCATCCAAACTCGCCCTCTTCTGCCTCAATTTTGCGGCCATTATGTGGCCCGCAGAGTGATTATGCGGTCGCATAATGAACCCCAGAAATGTGTTTTTCCGCCAAAATTTTTTCTTTACTTCCCGGTGCATTGTTCAACCCAAAAAGTCCGAGCCGCGACGCCTTTGTACTAATTGATCTACCTCGACACCACAAAACCTTAATTTTTCCTTAGCAAAAATTCTCCGAGTCACTACTCATACGTCAACATCTGGTCAACTTTTTCAACTAAATTTTAAAACCTTGGAACTAGGTGTTCCAAATCATTCAAAAAAACTCACCGGACCCGAACCAATTACCCCCGACAAGTCACATAATAATTATAAAGCATAAATTGAGCAGTAAATGGAAAAATAAGGTTATAATACTCAAAACGACCGGTCGGGTCGTTACAATCATAAAGGCATTCGAGTTGAAACTCGATGAGTTCATAGATAAGTACGAAAAGGATTTGGAAGAAATCAACACAAAGCTTGACAGGTTGGAGATGCTGGCCAGAGATGGCTCCTATGATAGTCTTGGTGATCCAGTAGCCGCTCGTGGGTCTGACAATGACGACGACAATGATGGAATGGATGTTTAGTGTTTTTTTTTTTTTTTGTATAATCCTTTTCGTCAAAGGGTTATTATCTTATTTTTAGTTTTAAGTAATTTCTTTATGTAAGTTTAATTTCTGTTAACGTAGTTCAATGAAGTATTATATGTTTTTGTTTTAATCTTTTTGTGCGTTATTTTTTTATATTAATTCTCTTCAAACTCAGAAAATAACAGAAGGAAAAACATAATTGCAGAAAATAATAAAAAACTTAATAATAATATTTTAATGCATAAAATAAAGAAATGGATATTCGTATGAAATTTATAATAAATATAAAAAACATTAAACATTATATAAATTTGTCCTAAAAGAGTTGAAAATTAGTTATGGATAATTTAATTTTAACATCAAATTAGTTATGGATAAAAAAATAAAACTTTAGCATGTTTTTGTATGAAATTTTAGCAAATAAACTAAATAATTTCAGCATACATTAGCAAAAACTCATTAGAAAATTACATACTGCAAGACAAAAATTTAAGCATGTTTAGTCTGAAAATTTAGCAAATAAACTAAATAATTTCAGCATACATTAGCAAAAACTCATTAGAAAATTACATACTGCAAGACAAAAATTTAAGCATGTTTAGTCTGAAAATTTAGCAAATAAACTAAATAACTTCAGCATGCATTAGCATGAAGTTTTAGTTTCAACGTGAAACAACTTCATGCTAAATTAGCATGAAGTTTTGGTTTCAATGTGAAACAACTTCATGCTGCATTAGCATGAAGTTTTAGCTTGTATTTGATTAAAACTTCAGACTTCAACGTGAAACAACTTTATTCTATATTCATGCATTAAATTTGAAATTTTAAAAAGTTTTTGAAGATCTATAAGTAAAAACTTCACGCTATATTCGTCAAACAATTTCATACAAGTGTGATTTGTAAATGAGCATAAGTGCAAATATCTTTAGGCGTTAATTGAATTCATATTTTATTTTTTAAGTTCAAAACTTAAAAAGCACGACGAATTACGAAAATAATTGCAGAAACATATATCATGAAGCTCAATCAGTTTCACAAACTAATGCGAATTCTGAAGATGAATTGCAATACTTACAATGTATTTTGTAATTTTGAATTCGGAATATGAATCTGGTTCAAGTTTCTGTTTTTTTGATAAAGCTGATGAGAGGAGAGGAGATCTTCGACCAGGGTTGGAGGAGATCTTCGACCAGGGTTGGAGGAGATCTTTTGAGGAGAGACGGAGTGATGAAGGAGATCTTTTTTCACGAATAAGGTTGTAGATCACGCGATTAATGCGTGATGCAGGTTTTATATCTTTTGTCAGGGGTATAATTGTCATATTATTACATATTTTTTGTCAGTTGGTTATAAAATTAATAATTTTTAAAAATAGGGTACAAATTAAAATGTGACACAAATATATGGTACGACTGCAAATTCCACTTTCACGGCCTACCAATTACCTTGGCCCAATTGTATAGTCTAGACGAATTTGGCCCAAAGCAACCACATAACTTCCCAAAGGTAAATACCAAATGAGAATTTTTCATAATTGCTTATAGATTCAAAAAATATTCCGTAATATACAACCACAATAAGATTTTCAAAATTTACTACTTTTACGTATAATCCTAAAATATGGTAGAATCTCTATAAAAAAAGGAATGTAAAGCTGTAACGTATCCAATTTCTCATCCTATCCCATAATTAATGCTTACAAATTCTGCATTTTCAATATAAACCCATTAGATTATTACTATCTCAATCTCCATCTTGGTCCTTAAAAATTCTCCATCGCCTTTTTATTTATATTATCCTTCAATACATTCTCAACAAATAATTCATTATTCATCAATTTCTCCTTCTCCGGTAGGAGAAATATTCGTCAAATAAAACTACCCAAAACAAGTGATAGTATTATATATTATATACCAATTTCATAAAAGTTTATATTATATAATATACTGTATACTATAGTTATCAGTAGTATACATCAAATAAACTAAAGTGATATTATACAATGAAGGTATATTGTATCATATACTATACCAATGTTATATAAGTTTATATTATATAATATACTGTATATGATATTTGTTAACAGTATACATCAGATTTTTCTTCTTAGTGTATACATTAGATAACTAAAAATGATATTATACAATGAAGGTATGTTATATTGTATACTTATATATTATTTTCACATTAGTTTATACTATATAATATATTGTATACTATATTAATTATTAGCACGCATCAGATACATATTAATAATAGCAGAAGAGGCTTGGGATATTGAGATATACTTGAATCCTTTTAATGAAGAAATTAGGGAAGAATTAATGCAGATAGATACATTTTAGGTTTGAGAGAATACAAGAGATATATATGAATACTTTTAGGTAACAGAATATATAACATATATTAAAAGTTATAGAATTTAAAATAAGTTGTATCTTATCGCAATTGTAACATATTTAAATAAATTTTAAATAAGTTATATTTTGGGTAAATTCCTCTACCAAAAACTCCACTTCAAAGCCCATATAGAAACGGGGAGATTATCGGCGACGGAGATTGATCCGAACCTGCGAAATTGCCAAAATGCCGAAGAAAATGGGAGTGAACAGCAAAGCCGAAGAGGCTAGGTCACGGAAGAGCGCCGTGGAATCGGAACGCAAAGCGCGTGAATCTCGAGAGAAAGAAGAACAGTACTGGCGCGAAGCTGAGGGAGCCAAGTCACGCGCCGCGAAGAAACGGGAAGAAGAAGCCGAGAAGCGAGCCGAGGCAGCTGCCAAAAAAGCCGAGGCGCGTCGGCTTGCCGAGCTGGAAGAGAAAGAGCTGGAGAAGTCAATGAAGAAGCCGGATAAGAAAGCTAATCGAGTCGCCATTCCGGTGCCAAAGGTGACGGAGGTGGAACTCCGGCGGAGAAAGGAGGAGGAGCAAGTGGCGTTAGCGAAGAAGGCGGAGGAGGACAAGCGGAAACAAAGCCGTATGGCTGCGGAGGAAGAGTATGAAAAACTGGTACTTGTGACAAATACGAATCGCGATGATTCGATTGTAGAAGCCAGTACTGTGGAGGATGCAATTGCTCATTTGGCTGTTACTGATAATTTGCCTGTCGATAAGCATCCCGAGAAGAGACTCAAAGCATCCTTTAAGGTATTCTTCATTATTTGTTATTGGTTGAATAATTGTGTTACTAGAGGCTGAAATATAGTAGAGTGGTTTCTAAGTAAGAGTTTGATTCTTCATAATTGCAAGTTTTCTACTTAAAAAGTCCAACTTGGTGGTATGGTTTACATTTTGTACTAGGATATGCTAATGAATTATTAATGTAGCACATTTACGTTTTGTTTGGTGATCGTTGTGGTACTTCATACTTGTAGGCTTTTGAGGAAGTTGAGCTACGTAGGCTGAAGGAGGAGAAGCCAGGTTTGACGCACACTCAATATAAAGACTTGATTTGGAAGCTATGGAAGAAATCTCCGGATAATCCTCTGAACCAGGTGCTTTTTGTGTTTATAAAAAATTCTGACTAATTGGATAAGACATGTGATCTTTAATGTTGGAAAGTCTTTCTATTACTTCTGTAAGTCTAGAATCCTGAATGATGTTTATGCTTCATGTCCTCCTGTGTATATCTCGTGAGTGCATGAATCGTGCAGTATCTCTGTAGATGTACAATTCTTGATGAATTCTAGGATCCCGTATTTTGCTTGCTACCTTAAACTATCAGGATTTCGGTATTAACATTGAGGATAAAAATATCTGTGGGATTTTAAAGAAATGTGCTTTATTGCTTTTCCTTAAGCAACATCGATTTCCATTTATGATGTGGTGGTGTTTGGACACTTATCGACTATTCCACTAGATACCTGCAATTTCCCACTAGCAAAGGTACCCGGTAATTCTGACCATCAAGCTTAGGCAAATAGGAAGAAGAAATTGCCTAGTGATTTTTTGTCTCAGCATTTGAACGTTTCCAAGGTTTGCACCTACTTCATTGACTATTAGGGCACACTCACACTCCTTCCTCTTGTTCCCTTTGTTCGATGGAATTCTTGTGTTTAGGCTCTATGTACTTAGTATGTGGTTGCCTATCCTTCTTTATATTTGTCTTCTTAGGTTGCGGTTATCTTCAGGCACATTATATATTCAGGAAGAAGCCCCATTACAGCCCATCATAGAGGTGTATTTATTAGTTGTTGCCTCATAGACTTTTTCTTTAAAAAGATGATTTTTTCTAGTAGGCTGGAAATGAACATAATTTTAAACCTTTCTTAAAATTTCCGATGTAGAATTAAATGTTTGCTGGTGAATGAAAACGGATCTTATAACTGGTAAAATTCAGTTTGTATTTGGAAAAGTATGGTCTGGTACGTAATTCTGATCTACACCTCAAATCTAGAAGAGTCATTTTAAGGATATGACATAGGTGAGTCCCTTAAGTATAGGCATACAACTATCTTTGTCCCTTAGTCATACTACTGGATATAAAATATACTTTATATTTATAAAAGTGGATAGCTTTAGTCTCTACTCCTTAACACCGTTACCTTTACAGTCAACGGCAACTGTTAAACTAAATGCTAAAAGAATGTCTGAGGAAAGAAAGGAGGACTTTTTCTTCTTTGCACTAGTCGTAGCCATGAGAAGGAAAATGAGTAAAAGAGAAATGTAAGAAGATGCTCGTTAGTTATTCGCAACACACGGCATAGCATGAATTAGGATCAATATGAGGGAGAGCTAATTCTTCTTCATTGTTCATCATTCTTTTTATCTAAAGAAACAACAATTTTGGTATTACTATTAGTTTTTTAGTTCCTATGTAACAATAAGACATTGTTTCCGGACGACACATTTAGTCACACAGAAAGAGAAAATGCAATTTTATCACCATTCACCAGCCATCATCTAACCAGTCAATTGAGGAACAACAATGAACTCGGAAATTTCAATGATGCCACAATCATAGGTTTATATTGTTCTGAAATTGGATAAGAATGAGAGCACCTAAACTGATAACAGATTAGGGCTCTAATAATTGTTCTTTCGATTGAACTTTGATCCATTAATTTAGGTATATATCTTTCACTGATTAGGGGTTTGTTTATAGGAATTTTGGGTAGAATGACAGAGTTTGGAGAGAAGGGTCTTAACGGGCATCTCTAGGTTGAAGATGAAGAGAATCAATGTTAGATTAACAACAGGTCAACAACCGTGATTTTTAACCAAACTTCACCCATTATCCGTTAGGTTTACTAATAGTGTTATAGACTAAAGCTGTCCATTTTTACAAACATAAGGGATGTTTTACATTTAATAATACTAGTTTCTCCTCACGTGCGTTGCACATGCATGCTTAGCTATGTAAAATCGACTTCCATTATTTTTCTCGCTAAGATTGGATTGTTCATCAACAATAACGAATCAAGCAAAACAGATTTTTACAAACCCGGACATTTTAATTCACTATTAGATCTCCACAACAGACAAATAATTTTGCTCCAAATATCTTCTCTATCAGCCGTCATAGTAGAATAATTATCTTTGCTTGACTTTGGACTTCATGTTTGTTGTTGTGGCATTTTGTCATAATCTTCCCAGTAAAATAGATAAATCCTCATTTTGTAGCCGAACAATCATGCACTATCAAACTTGGTTTATCGGGTCCTCCTTTTTCAAATTTCTTCACATATTTGTATGTTTGAACAATACGGAAGATTCCATTAAATTGAAAAATAAGTATCCTAAAAATTTTGTAAAATATTGAAAATAATTCAATGGAGTAAAATTGTGCAAGAGAATTTTAACGAGAAATATAAAATGAATGTAGACAGGAGTTTTTCAGAAAACTATATTTAGGTTAATAATTTTTCCACATGGTGCAAATGATAAAAAGAAATACAATAACATTTACTTAAGGAATTAAAATTACACTCAATGAATAACTATCATAGGATAATTGCTTAATATATATTTTTCTCCAAAGCTGATTCACGAAAAGATAGTGGGAGAGGAATAGTCATAAAATTTCTAAACAATATGGCACAAAAAGTGTTTTTGAAGAAAACGAAAAAAAAGAATGTACGCGATACTGACTTCAAAAGGTAATTCTTCATTTGTAATTTCATATTTAAATAATAAATAATAGCTTTTTCATTCTTTGTAACTATTATTCATAAACTCAACAATTAAATTGAAAGATTAGTTGCAAAATAAAAATTATTCCTTCTCACAACTTAATTAAATATGTATTTTTTTATCACCTAAACTTCTTTCATTTAACTCCTCTTGTCTTTACATTGATTTGATTTTTGTCTTTGCAATAATCTTAGTCACATTACGTTCTGTTTTTCCATCTCTTCGCTTCGTACAAATCTCGTCTTCCATCTTTTACTTCGCTGTAACAATCTATCACATTATCAAGCAAAAAACAAGAGAATAAAAAAAATGACAAATGAAATAAATTTTTTTTTTGGAGAAGGGCCAAAACTACCGTCAGACTATTCGATTTGGTACAAATATGCCCTCCGTCCACCTATTGAGCCAAAAATGCCCCCACCGTCATCTTTCTGGCTCACTTATGCCCCTGTGACTGACGGTCAATGCCAAATTAAAAAAAGAGTTTATTTAAATTACATGTGAAAATTTTTTATTGGTCTAATTTTAAACTATAACCCCAATTAAATAAACCCACCCTTAACCCCTTTTTTTTATCCAACCCCAAAATCCGACACATCTATAAAAATGGCCAAACTCTTGATTGTTAAAAAAATTAACTTCTCTATCTTTTCAATTCTACCATCACCATAGCTGCCACCACCCCCTTTCCTCCATAACAACCACGTTGCCACCACAACCATGATTCTCATGTTTGCTCCATTCCTCCATTTTCGAACAATAACAACGAGAATTTTATGTTAATCGAAAGGGTCCGATTAGAAAATCTTTAATTTTTTTCGATTGGATGTCCCTTTTTTGTTGTAAAATTAGGATTTTGTTCAAGGGGGAGTACCTTGACCATAAAAATTTTATTTTCTACAATAAATTGCCATTTGGGTCTTAACAACTTATTAAGAGTGCGCAAAATTTACAAATATTGTGAAGAAAAAATTGGACTATTCCGGAATTCAAAGCCCATGAATTCATAATGGGTTCTTTGATTATCTCAAGTGATGAGAAAGAAAAAAAGATTCACCATTGTAAGTGACATTTGAATGTGAAAATTAGGTTTTTGACGAACATTTTCGAAAAATGACAGCTCCAATGGTAAATGTAAAATGAAGATAGATGATAAAAATATGGAAAAGGACCAAAACTGCCCCTAGACTAAAAATGTGGAGGCAGCGTGGTTGATATGAAGGGAAGGGGATGTTGGCAGCTATGATGGTGGTAGAATTGGAAAGATAGAGAAGTTATTTTTTTTGACAATCAAGAGTTTGGCCATTTTTTAAAGCGGGTCGGATTTTTGGGTTAGGTAAAAAAATGGGTTAAGGGTGGGTTTATTTAATTAATGGTCATGGTTTAAAATTGGAACTAATAAAAAGTTGTCACGTGTAATTTAAGTAAACTTTTTTCTATTTGGCGTTGACCATTAGTCATAGGGGTATAAGTGAGCCAGAAAGATAACGGTGGGGGCATTTTTGGCTCAAAAGGTGGACAGAGGGCATATTTGTACCAAATCGAATAGTCTGAGGGTAGTTTTGGCCCTTTTCCGTTTTTTTTAATAACATGAATGCTGCCTACGTACAACAGTAAGTTGTTATTTTGCCTTTGTTGGCAGTCTTCATCTGAGTCCTCTAGTCACAGGGAAAGAGTACGACATCTTGTTATCTAACGTTTGCCAACGGTTTAAAAGAAAAATTAAAAGGTATAGCTTTAGTTACTCATAATTAGAAAGACACACCTGTTAAGGAAAAGGCATACCGATTTATTTTTTATATTTTCAATTATTAATAGTCTTATTATTTTATATAAAAATTTAGAAGGGTAAATAGGTAATTTAACTTTTAAGTTTAGGGGTTCATACTTTTAATATAATATAGAATATAGATTCAATTATTAATAGTCTTATTATTTTATATAAAAATTTAGAAGGGTAAATAGGTAATTTAATTTTCAAGTTTAGGGGTTCATGCTTTTAATATAATATAGATATACATAAATAAGGGACAAAGTTAGTTCTATGCCTATACTTAAGGGACTATCTAAGTTTATTCCTCGACATAGGTCAATGTAAATTATTTTAGTTTATTTTTGATAATGATCAATCTAACTTTTTAAATATGTTTTAGGAAACAAGAAATCTTGACTGTAGGCATTTCACTGCCTTACTTTGTGAAGATGTGGAGACACGGTTAAGTTAACTTTGTTCTTTGTCAAGAGTGTTCCAATTTTTTGGTCATTCTCTATTGACACTCAATTTAGTTTTTCTACCTTGTTGAAATGGTTGTCTTGGGGCTTAATAATCTGGTTGGAGGCCTGTTAGGTTCAACCGTTCAAGTAACTCTTCGTGGTCCCTTTTTAATGTCACTGTCCAATTTATTATTCTTTTTTTTTTGCTTGGAAAAATGGTAAATTATTGATTTTCAACTTATGTGAACAATTGTCAATGCAGCTTCGGGTGTGTCCTTTTTATTTTTATTTTTTGTAAACATGAAGAATCGAGATAAACAAAGAAGGGGAGATTCTAGGGTTTACACCATGTTTAGAGAGCCAGAAGCTTCGAGACTTTGTCTCTTCTGTATATTGAAAAATGAATCAGATTGTTCTAGTTACAAAGGTGGGCTTCACTATTTATAGTGACCCAAAAAAATACAAAAATACAGTGGACTAACTATTACAAAGGGCTAATAGTACAATTGGGCTAAACAAATATAAATACAAAGTAAGTTAAAACTGGGCCCAAACATTAGCCAACATCCAATTGGCCTATTCTAACAGCCCCCCTCAAGTTGGAGGGTGACAACCCCCAACTTGCGAATGTGTAGATAATGAGCAGGACCAGGGAGCACCTTGGTGAGAACATCTGAGAAGAACTGGAAGTGTGGACAAGGGAGATCAACCCATCTCCAAGCTTGGCACACACAAAATGACAATCCAATTCTATGTGCTTTGTCCTCTCATGGAAGACAGGATTCTTAGCAATATGTAGTGCAGCCTGGCTGTCACAAAACAACACAGGTGAGGTAAGAGTCACACCAAAATCAGACAATAACCTGGAGAGCCAAGTGACTTCAGCCACAACCTTGCTCATAGATCTGTACTCAGCTTCTGCTGAGGAAAGGGAAACCACAGGCTGTTTCTTGGACTTCCTACCCACCAAACTACCACCAAAGAAGATGCAGAAACCAGTGACTGACCTCCTACTATCTGGGCAAGAGGCCCAGTCACTATCACAAAACACTTGCAAAGACAGATCAGGAGCATTATTGTAGAAAATGCCAGAATCAGAAGACCCTTCGAGATATCTGAGAAGGTGAAGTGCAACCTTCATGTGTGGCGGGCAAGGCTGCTGCATGAACTGACTCAAATGTTGGACTGCAAAGCTGAGATCATGCCGGGTATGAGTTAAAAAATTCAGCTTGCCTATGAGACTTCTGTACTCCTCAGGTTTAGGCAAAAGGTCTCCTTCCTTTGCTTTCAACTTGACATTCAATTCAAGAGGGCAAGTGACGGAAGAATCGAGGTAAACAAAGAAGGGGAGATTCTAGGGTTTACACCATGTTTAGAGAGCCAGAAGCTTCGAGACTTTGTCTCTTCTGTGTATTGAAAAAATGAATCAGATTGTTCTAATTACAAAGGTGGGCTTCACTATTTATAGTGACACGGAAAAATTCAAAAATACAATGGACTAACTATTACAATGGGCTAATTGTACAATTGGGCTAAACAAATATAAATACAAAGTAGCTTTCATTTTTTATGTTTTTCTTACAAGTAGCTTTCTGTCTCTTTTTTTTCCCCAACCTTTTAAAGGTTTAGTTCAACACTTCAAATTATCCTCACCATTGATTCGCATAGATCCTAGCCATTATGTTTTCCTACTTCCAGTTCATCATTGCACAAATATACAGTGTCCATATCACGCGTACACACAATAGGTTTTCAAATATGTTTAGCCTAGGTTGATTGAAGTTATGAATTACATTATCTCGTTTTGATACACAGCACTCATCATTTTTCAACCATAGATGACTAGGAGAAATGCTTATAATTGGTTCCTGCTTCTGGTTATTCACCTTATGAATGTGCATGGATAAGATGTGGCAAGTCGCCAGAGCAAGTGGTTAATCCCTTTTCCTTTTAATTATCTCTTAGTTGACTAATTGAATTAGTGGAAGGGGCTTAAAACAACCTTTAGACATTCAAGCGGATAATTCTTCAGACAGTAGTCAGCGAAAGGGCTCATTGACTCAGAAGTTTGAGGCGCTATGGTGTCCCAGACCCTCTTTTAGTTTTTAAAAAAATGTGTTTGCATTCTTTGCTCATATGACCTGTTATTGAGCTGGCTATGTTGTGGACAGACTTCTAAGTCACGATTTTACGCCGTTTGAGTTTCTCCCTTTAAATCAGTTTGTCATTAATTTATGGACCTGGTATCAAATTCTTTCCATAGGGATGATAGGAGTATTGCTGTTTGCCAGACTCTTTGAACTGTCAACTATGGCACATTTTTGTTTATTCTGATTTGAGATATTTACAGTGACCTTTTAATTATATATGCTTCAAACTTCAAAGTTTGCATTACTACTTTTGTGCTTTCTAGAAAAGAATTTGTTGAGAAATTCAATGCGGCCTCTATGTTATCAAGTAAAGAAGATTGACTTGTATTTCCGTCTTCTTGGCATAAGCAAAATGCAAAGGTACCTCCTTTTGGAGATGGCAATATCTCTCTGCTAGTTAATTTCTTACTGCATTGTTTGAGAACCTGTAGGAACCTGTGTAGGGGTTATAGGAACACGCAAGTATAGCACCTTCTTTAACATGTTGGCTTCTTTTTCCCCTCAATTGCCTTCATCTTTACAAGCGGCCTTGTAGTGTTTAGTATTATGTGTAAGGATATTGCAAGAGCTTTGCTAAAACTCAGTCAGTTTGTGGTCATGGTCGGAACTACAAGCGATGTATGTATGATTATCTAAGGNTCAATTGGTTGCCTTCGTCTTTACAAGCGGCCTTGTAGTGGTTAGTATTATGTGTAAGGATACTGCAAGAGCTTTGCTAAATCTCAGTCAGTTTGTGGTCATGGTCGGAACTATAAGATTATGTAGTAGTGGGAGCTATGGATGCATTAATTGTTTAACGAGTTGGGTTTTTGTCAAGTTCAACTTCCTGTCTTTTCAACTTCATGCAGATAGCATCTTCTAGTTGTCGCCTATGGTAGCTAACTTCATCTTAATCTTTTATGCAGATTGCAGACAAACCATAAGTTCTTTTCCTGTATAGGGCTGGAGTGTCTGCTTGAGGAGTATGTTGGTGGTATGTCATCTGATCTGACTTGATGTTTGACAGTCTTCTGGCAATAGACATTTGCAATGCATGATTCTATTTGGTTGAAGTGATGATACTTCTTAATTAAATCACTTTAATAATGTCCCTTCTCCACTGTAACTGTCTACACCACAGGCCCATGATTTGTTTCTAAATATAAAGTAAATAGTTTATTCAACAAGCTGAAGCTTGTACCCTTTTGAGCAGCCAAAGGGATGAAAGGAGAAAAAGTTGTCAAATAAGTGTGTGTGTGTGTCTCTCCTTCCATGGTTGTTAATGACAAAGTTTAACAAAGCAAAAGGGCCATATACAACTATTTAGTGTTTACATACTCCTGATTTATATGATGTTTATGTTACACTTGGACATCAGAATGCAATGTTTACAACCAAAAGAGCAACAACAATGATATTGAATCAGTCGGTTAACAATTTATTCTCTATTCGGGAAAGTTTTGATTACACTGAATCAGTTAGTTAACAACTATAGGAATCTGTCTTTTTTATTTCCTCCCGACACTATTGTTCACTAAGGGCTAAAGAAGTTGGCGTCCAATCCATCAACCACCAGATTCCATAATGCACCAGTCACTTGTACGACACTCGTCAATGTGCCCAAACACCCAAGAAAGATGTTGAAACGGCACATGAAGCTTTTCGTCTCGGGTTTTTTGATGGAAATCCACATGAAGCAAGGGTAAACCAGAGTCAGTGGCAACGTAATGCCGCCAACAAAGGCAGCCAGACTTCCCAAAAATGGGAACGCCACCGATATAAAATATGTAAATCAGCCGAAGAAGAGCTTGATGCATGATCGGAGCCACCTCCGGCACGCCTTGTGCTGCCTACTTACATATATACTTTCCAAGTTGTCGAAGACAACCATGGCGTAGATTTGGAAAGTGCATAAGCAATGGATCACACCATCAAGTATATTATGCCTGTTACCTACTTTGGTGTGCTCTCTTGGTGGTACTTGGCAATTGCAGCTATAATTCCACTCGCAGGCATCTGCAAACCATTATAATGTTAATTCTATCAGAAAAATTGTAGGAAAAATGATATTGTATAACCGCTCTTGAAATAATACCCGAATATATAT